ACTTTAAAAATTAAGTTAAACAGCGCTTAAAGCCCAGGAGTTTAGAGAGCAAAGGTTCCCGAGTTCTGTACGATTACCTGAGCTTGTGAATATTTCAGTGTTTGACAACTGACGTAGGGGTCGGCGTGGTCGAGTCGGTAAAGCTCATGGTTGCTAAACCGAAAATTCTCGAGTTCGAACCGCCGGGCAGATGAGGCTCGTTAGCTGGGGACAGCTAGGAGAGACAACTCCAAAATCAAACAACTGCTGCCTTGTAGTTTGTTCTTGGTTGGACAAAGGCTATGGAAGCAAATCCAAAAAGAAAAGGAGGCTGAAATCGGAGTCAATGGCCTCAATGGCACATAACCAGTTGTAACGTATACTTAATTGTGATGGAGGCATGGTCGAGTCGGCAAAAAGCTCATGGTTGATAAATTAAAAAAAAAAGTCTCTGGCAGATAAGGCTCGATCCTTTCCAACACTAATAAATTAAGAACGAAGAAGAAGACAAGTGACGTCACGGACAGAACTGGTAAGACGAAGTAAGAGACAGGTGAGACACGGTTAGACTCACGTAAGGTGCAACACGGTAAGACTGGTGCGTCACGCTCTACTGACTATAAAATTGTTATCCTAACCATTAACAAGCCGGCGGATTTAGAATTAATTAGGAAATGTACATTAAACAATGTGCCGAGAAATAAAGCACGAAATAGAGGAAGGGTAAACTTTTACAATTTTAACTAATCAATATTCAGATATACTCAAGGCAGTTAAAAATAAATCATAAAAATTCTACACACCCACGCTAGAGTTATATTTGATACCAAAATATCAGGCCATTAAGGTCAGTAATCCAATTTTTTGTGTGCTTTAGAAATTATTCATCCAATTATCTTGTCTAATAAGAGAAATTAGCCCATAATGATAATAAGTTCCGACAACATTATTTTTAGTTCACTTTTATAATCTTTTTTAAAAAAAAGTAAAATCTTGTTCATCTGAAGAGAGAATTGTCTAGCACTACATAAATCTGGCAAGCAATAGGAAAATCTGGCAAGCGCTACACAAATCTGGCAAGCACTATGAAAATCTGGCAAGCACTACGAAAATCTGGCATGTCCATTATGTTCTTAGCCGAACGCTATGGCGACACACTGTCTGGGTTCCAGAGTTTTTTAAAGAGGTTTTATGTAGACATTTTTAAAATACATTTGACATTTCGAAATAAACAAGAATGATAATAAGAGATCAAGTAGCCTTTGTGAACCGGAGTTTTCAAAACTAATTAAATAATTAAATTAAGCCTGTTAGAATATGAAGTTCGAAGGTCTACTTGCGAAAAAAAAGAAATAAATATACAAACATGTAATTCATATTACAGAAATAAACAAGGGCTGATGTATATGATATATGCCTAAATGCACATACATTATACAAATATATAGTTAGATATATACTTAAACTTTATCATTTATGCGGTTTCTATTGTGTTTTTTGTGTTTGTGTTAGGGTTTACATTAGAGTTTGTGTTTGTGTTTGCGTGTTGCGTGTTGCGTTTGCGTATGTGTTTGCGTTTGCGTTTTCTTTTGTGTTATTTTTGTGTTTGTGTTTGCATTTGTGTTTGAGATTGAATTAGAGCTTTTGTATTGTTTGTGTTGTGTTTGCGTTGTGTTTGCGTTTTTATTTGCGTTTGTATTTGTGTTTGTATTAGTGTTTGCATTTGTTCTGTTCCAATGTTGGTACATTTATAAAAGACATACCGTAGCGAAGCACGGGTATGCAACTAGTATATATATATATATATATATATATATATATATATATATATATATATATATATATATGAACCGATGTAACGATGAGAAAGAGGATATTGTTCCAGAATATGTCCATGTCATGTTATTAGCATGTGTGAGAAAGTGGCCAGATAAATCGGGATGTCGATGGCGTCATATAGGCATGTCTGTACGTGTTTTCTCTCATGAAGAGCAAGAGCGACAACTCCAAGGGGGGAAAAATGTAACAACATCAGAGAGAACAGAGGGGAGGGAGGCCAATTATGTCCCGACAAATCAGCATTTAAGCCGGATCTGAGATCAGAGAGAGAGGGGAGAGTAGGACAGGGGGTGGGGGTTCCTACCCCGGATGTGATTGTAGAAGATACAAGTAAGCATAGGCATTCTTTTTTTCAGTGTGTTTGTAAAGTGGTGAGGGGTATGACATGCTGCCACAAATATGGTTACATTGAGGTTACAGATACATATATGGAGTAATATTGTAATATCTTGTTATTAGTAATACGTTGCTGAAAGCTAGCCTGGTTCTTCAATTTGAGTTGGCCTATGGTTAAAAATCCTTAAAAATGGGGTAAAATGTTCCTCTCTTTTACCTTCATCTCCCTAATCCCAACCCACCATTCCCCCCCCCCCACCATCCCCCATACTTCCCATCCCCCTCCCCTCTCTCCCCCACCCTCCCCCCCCCCCCTCCTCCACCCCTGTGACCCGTGTTGTTGACGCCCACGGATCTAGTGTTTGACAGGGGCCGACTTGATGATCGGGTACTGTGACGACCTTTGAACTTCAACACGTTAATGGAGGAGATCGTCAACACTACAGACACGTCGATAACTCCGGGTAATAAAGCGGAGACCTTAAGCCTCAGATTTACTGATGGCAATCTTTTTGTTTGGCTGGTACCTAGTCACAGTTGTCGCCCTTCGCAAGCCAAATAGATACGCTGACATGAGATGGGAGTTAACTCTGGATTCGTATTCTTTTCCCAGAATGTTTTATTAATTCAACATTTGATACAAACGTTGATTGAGGGATTTCCTATCTAATACGATATAACATAGTTTCGTTTTTTTTCTTCTGTAGAACAATGATTCGCTAAGCTAAGTCTCTCTCCCCATGAATTACAATATAGCGACTGGCAAGTTGATGGTTTTATTAGCTCAAAGCATGTGGTTTAATATAAACTGAATAATACAACTATCAAACATACCAGTTCTATACTGGTGAGTGCTTTTTATACTAGAAAAAGAACCTGTTTGAGTTATATATATATATATATATATATATATATATATATATATATATATATATATATATATATATATATATATATATATATATATGGTAAATCAGATAGATTTCTAGATAAAATGAGAGAGTAGATATTGAAAATGAAGACAAAAGTTTCAGAAAGCAAAAATAGTAAGAGAAATTTTAGGAATAGGTTGAGAGAATAAGAAAGTAGTTAAGGAAGCAGTACACGTATGTAATTAATTAGTTATCACGTTATAAGATTATTGTAGTTCAGCAAACTACTAAGTCTGGAACATTCTGTGTGTCCGGTAGTATAGACTACCAATTGTTTTGATGAAATATATTTTTAAAATTTCCTGTTAGAACCCGGATGTTTACAAGTTATACGTGTAGACTCTAGCTCTTGCCAGACGATAGATGACACGATAGGCTGTCATGTCATCTATGTCGTTTTGTTTACAGGAATAAAACACTTTTGAAAATACAGGAAAAATACAACATGCCACTTTTACTAGAAAAAGTAAATTAACTAACTTAAAAACACAATAAACCAGAGAGTAAAAATAATAAAAAAAAGATAATCTCATTTCCCTCTAGGGACGATAACTCTTATCGCACGAATACAGTCTAACACTGTCGGCTAGTAGAGCCGGTTCTATAGGTCAAAAAGAATATAAAATAAACTTTTTGTAAATTGATATCTAAAAATTTAACGATATTAACGTAAACTTTAATGTATCCAGCATTTTACTTCATTTAGTGTAATCTAAGTAAACAAGTAATTATCCTTTAAGATAAATTTACCATAATCCAAGTTGTAATATGAATAATTATGTCCTAAACACAAATGGTACCATCACTGTCAAAGTAAAAAAAAATCGTCTTTACACTTACTTTTTTAGAACATTCCGCAAAACACAATGTCTTTGTTAAAAATATTGTTGGATATCGGATATAAAGTCTCTGAGTTATTAGGTACGAGCTTAACCTACCACAATTATTTTGTTTGTCCTTCCATATTGGTTCTAAAGTTTGCTATTAAGTATAAATTTCACATAACACATGTGTTCTGTTTGTCGTTAAATATTGCATCTCGCTTCTACTGTACAGTACAAAGTTCACATAACACATTTTTTTTGTGTTTACTCCGTCGGTGCACATTGGATCTATTTTTTTTGTGTTTGCTCTTTTGTTGACTGGGAATCTAATTTTAAAAAATCGGTCACTGTTTTTGTCCGAGTTTACATTTACATAATTAAGCCTCTCCGTTAATTACACGTGATGCCAGCGCTGATTACTTTGGTAAAGTACATTTACTTTAATTAAACATTCAAGTGACAGACAAGTGCAATTTAGAATCGAATTTTATGTGAAAAAAAAACTTAAAGAGAATTATTGATAACCTCACTGAATAAACACAACTATCGATATATCAATTGCGTTTTACGCCCTGCATTTGTTTCGTTTAAAAATCACAGTAATTATAAGAAAAGCTGCAACCTATGCTCTGTCTACTGCATATAAGCTTCAATAAAATTGTAGTTTACTAAATTAAGTAGTTTTTGTCATCTAGTTTTTAAACAATCAACGGAAAGATTTTTGCAAGTTGTATGGAAAACGTGAGATCCCTTCAAAAACTATCTGCACAAACTAAATAATCAATATTTCGTTCGATGGTATTCATCAGATTAAAATAAAAATAGACTAACAATAAAGTTTTTAACCACCCTGTAGATCTATGTACTATGTTTATTAAGTCAAACTCATGGTTGAGATGTTTTACTTCCTCGTGTTTGTATCAATCCATTTTTAATAGGGCTGGTAAGTAGGTCACCAACCAGTTCTACGGCTCAATAAAACCTGCATGCGCCATAGAACTGGTTAGTGACCTACTTACCAGCCCTTATAGGAATCATTTAATTTTTATAATAACCCTTTCTTAATTACAAAAAATGCTAATGAACTTACTGATGAGTGGTACAAACTCCGAAGTTTCTGGAAGGTTCTCTGCTACAGCCAGCATAAAGACGGAGAATGCCAGCAACACGGTGATCCCCAGGGCGATCTTCTCACCGGAGTCAGGGGGGAGGCAGAACACCAGGAGAGTCAGCGCCGACATCATGACGCAAGGGAACACAACGTTGTACATGTAGTAGAGCGTGCGTCTTCGGATCTGGGGAGGGGGTAGAGTTGTTGAATGATCTTTAGAGGTAAAGTAATTGTATGATCTTTAGAGGTAGAGTTATTTTATGATCTTTAGAGGTAGAGTTATTTTATGATCTTTAGAGGTAGAGTTATTTTATGATCTTTAGAGGTAAAGTAATTGTATGATCTTTAGAGGTAGAGTTATTTTATGATCTTTAGAGGTAAAGTAATTGTATGATCTTTAGAGGGAAAGTAATTGTATGATCTATGGAGGAGGTAGAGTTATTTTATGATCTTTAGAGGTAAAGTAATTGTATGATCTTTAGAGGTAGAGTTATTGTATGATCTTTAGAGGTAAAGTAATTGTATGATCTTTATATACGGTAAAATAATTGTATGATTTATGGAAGAGGTAAAGTAATTGTATGATTTTTGGGTGAAATAAAGTAGTTGTTAGATTTTTGGAGGAGGTTAAGTAATTGTATAATCTTTGAAGGAGGTAAAGTAATTGTATGATCTTTATAGAGGGTAAAGTAATGGTATGATCTTTATAGAGGGAAAAATATTTATATAATCTATGGAGGAGGTAAAGTAATTGTATGATCTTTGGAGGAGGTAAAGTAATTGTATGATCTTTGGAGGAGGTAAAGTAATTGAATGACCTACGAAGGAGGTATTATAGTTGTATGATCTTTGAAAAAGGTAAAGTAATTGTATGATCTTTATAGAGGAAAAAATATTTGTATGATCTATGGAGGAGGTAAAGTAATTGTATGATCTTTGGACGAAGTAAAGTAATTGTGTGATTTGGGGAGGAGGTAAAATTAATGTATGACCTGGACATAATTAAAGATGAATATATAATCTAAGGAAGATACATGTAAGACACAGAAGATATATTAAACGTCATGACAAATTGTCATAAGACAATGAGTTAATGTTTTCTTATGAAAGGAGGCTATGAGTCATATATATAAACGTAATGTTACGAACAATTTTTGTAAGCGGAAACATAAATCAATGTCCGTGTGTGATAAATGAGTCATTTGACGTGGGACAAATCCAAACAAAACCAAGCCAAGCAAGTCAGAGGAAATAAACGCTGGTAGGTTAGAAAAGACAGCAGGAAAACAGTGATAAATTGTAATAGAAAGGCTCTAAATGTTTACCCTCTATGTAAGGCCATAATGTGTTGTCGTTAAGAGATATGAAGATCAGTACAACAAGAAGTTAAGTGGAGGACTTGTGCTATGTATACTGTGTATAGATGTTGTTGCTTTGTGCTCACAGGAGACAGAAAGCACTGGTTGATGTAATAATGAAACATAATCAAAGGATAATATGTTAGTACAGTGGCTGAACTATTTGTTTTCTCAGATTCTTTAAATTTGCAATACATAGAAAGGATTTTTTTTTTGTAGATTACATTATGTGAACAATCAACAACGTCGTTTTCTAGGTTCGAATACTGGTGATGTCTAATCCTTTGTTTATTGGTACCTTCCAGGGTCGGCCTAATTCATATAGGTACTAGACCTATCTTCTTCTTCTTCGTTCTTAATTTTAGTGTTGGAAGGAATCCCCTCCAACACAATTAAGTATACATGTCAAATGGTTATGCGCCATTGATTTCAGCCTGCTTTTCTTTTTAGATTCGCTTCCATAACTTTGTCCAACCAAGAACAAACTACAAGGCAGCAGTTGTTTGATTGTGGAGTTGTCTCTCCTTAAAGAGTGGCTGTCCCCAGCTAACGAGCCTCATCTGCCCGAGGGTTCGAACTCCAGACTTTTCGGTTTCGCAACCATGAGCTTTACCGACCCCTAAACTAGACCTATGCAATGATTAAATTATAAGAACAGTGATATCGCATGATCATCTGTATCTGGGTCTGCCTAGGTCATATAGGTACTAGACATATGAAAATGACTAAGTATAAAGAACAGTGATATTGCCTAATGATCTGTATTGTCTGAAAGAAACCAGTACCATAACGTATTGCGATATAAAAATGCCCTAGAGACTTTAAGGTCTGTTTCCTGTAGTTGTTTATGGTCGATTGGGGACTTAGTCGAGGGATTACGGGATTAGAACAGCACTTCCTAAATCAATGGTCTGGTACGCGTTAGACAGGATTGGTTTACACATTGTAGGAATTAGTCCCAAGTAGGAACAGAAGATGGGTGAGTGTTCAACAGTACTAACGGCATCTTGCAAGCCATGTTGATTGTGTCAGGTCCCATTACATGGGCCTGGCTAGTTGCAGTACGGAATAAAGAGAGAATAGTAACAACAAAAAAACAGACAGTGTTATTACATAAATTACAACGTCTTAACGATGCAAAGGTAATTTTGGGACAACAGAGCAGTGTAGCTGAGCAGATCGGAGAGCGCTCCACCAACAGGCACAACGTCTGCTTCAAAACCAATGACGTAATGTACTAGCCAGTCGTTTGCTGTGAACGCTCGTATTTTACCTGTAAGAGTAAAGTCCCTTTTCGACCTGTAGGTCCATGGGGCAAGGGAATAAGAGCACATCTGTTTCTGTGACCTCGGCATATGTAGGGATAGTGTGGTCATCACTACACCTAGTCGCCTTTTACTTTCCTTAACGTGGACTCAGGGACGTTCTACTGATTTGAACCCGGTTTCGAACTCGAGATTTTCGGGTCAGCAGTCTAGCACTCTACCGCGAGGCTTTTTACCTTCAGTCATTTGATTTTACTGCTAGGTGTTTTGGTCCTGGGCTCTATAATTGACCTAATACTCGAGCAATTATCAATGACCTCTTGAACTCCTTAATATTCTAGTAAATTGACACTACCACCAAAAGTAAACTTGTTACTAAAACCCTGGATATTCTAGTAAAATGACACTACCACCAACCATAAACGAGCCACAAAAATTATGGATATTCTGGTAAATTGACACTACCGCTAACCGTAAACTAACCACAAAAAACCTAGATATTCTGGTAAATTGACTCTACCGCCAACCGTAAACTGGCCACAAAAAACCTGGATATTCTGGTAAATTGACACTACGGCTAACCGTCAACTAGCCACAAAAATCCTGGATATTCTGGTAAATTGACACTACCACCAACCGTAAACTAGCCACAAAAAACCTGAATATTCTGGTAAATTGACACTACCGCTAGCCGTAAACTAGCCACAAAAAAACTGGATATTCTGGTAAATTGACACTATGGCTAACCGTAAACTAGCCACAAAAAACGTCGATATTTTGGTAAATTGACACTATGGTTAACCGTAAACTAGCCACAAAAATCCTGGATATTCTGGTAAATTGACACTACCGCTAGCCGTAAACTAGCCACAAAAATCCTAGATATTCTGGTAAATTGACACTACCACCAACCGTAAACTAGCCATAAAAAACCTGAATATTCTGGTAAATTGACACTACCGCTAGCCGTAAACTAGCCACAAAAAAACTGGATATTCTGGTAAATTGACACTACCGCTAGCCGTAAGCTAGCCACAAAAATCCTGGATATTCTGGTAAATTGACACTATGGCTAACCGTAAACTAGCCACAAATAAACCGGGAGTGATCTCCCCTAAACTTTCTCGAATATTCTTATACGAGAAAAATGGCCCGTTGAGGAAGGGTACAACGGGCGCTAGGCTGATAGTGCTGTCTCTTTTCTCTAAACTAAAACCAACCCACCCCCCACACACCACCCCCACCCCACCCCCACACACCACCCCCACCCCCACCCCTCACCCCCACACACCACCCCCTCCACACACCGCCCCCACCCCCCACCCCCCCCCCCCCCCCCCCCAAAAAAAAACATGTCTACCGTCCCATTCAACGAAATATAATTATATACTTTTTCCAGTGTCCGCCCCCTCCCAGAAAATTCTACCCGCGCCCCCGAAAATTTCAAGTACCCCCACCCCTCTCCGGGGAGGAAAAAGTCTGAAAGAAACACTGAAACCAACCCACCCCCCCACACACACCACCCCCCACCCTCACACACCCCCCCCACACACACCCCCCCCACCCCTCCACCCCCCCCCCCCCCCAAAAAAAAACATGTCTACCGTCCCATTGCAAGAAAACCACTTTTTAGATTAGACACATTAATTAGGCGGTAATTTTATTATAGAGTATCGATGAGGAAATTTCTTTTGAGTTGGGGAGGGGGGGGGGGGCTCAGACGTTCTTACGCGGGGGGTGGGGCTTCGCCCCTACCCGAAGAATTGTATGCAAGAAACTCTTCACGCAAACCATTTAGATTAGACAAAGTTTCCTTTTTATTCAATGTTTACGCGATAATCAATGACGTCATTATATTACTGTGTGCACTTTCCGCCTTGAGATTATTTTCAACTCTATGCTAAATGTGTCAACGTCATACTCCGTTTTTCGAAATACTATGCATGTTTTTAATTTCCTTGTGTTTTCTCTAGAGCGTTCTTGTCAGACAGAGCGTTCTTGTCAGACAGAGCGTTCTTGTCAGACAGACAGCGAAACTATTATTATAGACGAGAAAAATGGCCCGTTGAGGAAGGATACACCGGGCGCTAGGTTGATAGTGCTGTCTCTTTTCTCTAAACTAAAACCAACCCATCCCCCACACACACCTACCCCCAACCCCCAACCCCACCCCACCCCAGCCCCACCCACCCACCCCCACCCCCACCCCCCAAAAAAACATGTCTACCGTCCCATTCAACGAAATATAATTATATACTTTTTCCAGTGTCCGCCCCCTCCCCGAAAATTCTACCCCCGCCCCCGAAAATTTCAAGTACCCCCACCCCTCTCCGGGGAGGAAAAAGTCTGAAAGAAACACTGGTGTTGCGCTTAGCCACTACGCGAAGAATTGCATTAAAGAAATTGCGAGAAAACCACTTTTTAGATTAGACACATTAATTAGGCGGTAATTTTATTATAGAGTATCGATGAAGAAATTTCTTTTGAGTTGGGGAGGGGGGGGGCTCAGACGTTCTTACGCGGGGGGGGGGGGGGGGGGCTTCGCCCCTACCCGAAGAATT